TGCTGGCGACTCTCGAATTACATCTAGTTTGCCTTTTCCTGTCGTCGGGTTCAACTATTCCACCTGTCTGCTTCTCCTGCCTAGATACAATGTAGGACAGGTTCCCAGAAATGTTGGGGTCCCTTCTGCAATCTCAGTTTTTGTTGCATATCATACCGGTAGTGCCTTCACCTGTCCAACCAGTAGCCAACCCGGTTACTGCTGTTCCTGTGGCTGAGTCCCCTCCAGCCCTGAAGTCTGAGGCGCCACGGCCAGCAGCATCTGCCTGGCATATCAGAGCACAGCTTGTGGCGCCTGTAGGAACACAAGGTGTGGACTCCTCGCCTTTCATGAGCCACAGCTCATTGTTGTTTGAGTTCTTGCACTCTGTTACGCTGCTCCCCCTCCTGGCATAAATGTATTCATCTTCATACTTCCACCGTTTCTATCCCCTCCGACACTAACGGAAACGGCTCGGCACAATAGTGGCTGCTGGAATTTGGACTCCGCTTCTCCATCCTCCGCCTTGTCCATGACAGCGCCTTCGGAACCTTTGCCTTGCTGGGCGGACAGCAGCAGTGGAGACGAGTTCAAATCAGCTCCAGTCAGTGGAAACCACTTTAGGATACAGCACCAGTGGCGTTGCTATGGCTGCAATCTGGCTGTTAGTTTTGTCACATGGAAACGGAGGGCCCCTTCTGTTGCCTAACCTCAAAGCCATCCTCTCCTCTTCCTCACAATGAATGACATTGAAAGGAAGGTTCCAGTGTGAAATTACATGAGCATGGTGGACCAGAGAAACAGAGGGATGCAAAAAAAAATCTGATTTATTAAGTCATACAAATAAATAATGTGAAATTGGGCTACCCTATAATTTCAATCTGTTTTGAATATTGTATTTTGAGCACAAATAGTAATTTATTGTGAAGCACATTCAAATGCAATATTAGCCTTGAAAGGTCAGTGGATTAGCATATTGGCAAGCCACTGGGCACAGATGTCAATTAAATGTCTATTCCACATTGGTTCATTGTAATTTCATTGAAATTATGGAGAAACGATGTTGATTCAACCAGTGTGTGCCCAGTGGGAAATGTTCTCTATTTTACTCACATCATGCATGCGTTATCTGTGCGTAATCACCAAATAATATTGGTGGTGGATGACTTCACCTGAGAAAATGAGTGGTGCCAATATAGGCTACAATATCCACCAGTCCAGATATGTTGATTTATTCCAGACACATCGATAGGCTACGTCAATGATACCACCTAGAAGCACAATGGTTCCTCCATATTGATGATTAAATCGCACCCTCGTGTCGTATCTTCTCAGAATGATTTGGGTGTGTAGGCCTACTGATGTAATATTGTATTGTACAGTGAGTCTATAGCTGTTATGCCTATGAAATCAGACCATTAGTCCACTCCTTTACCATTATTCAACTCCTTCTGTATGCCAGCTTCAAGTCATCATGAGCGTGCACATGCGCAGACTGCAGATATTCTAGCCCAGGGGTACTCAACTCTCACCCTACGAGTTCCAGAGCCTGCTGGTTTTCTGTCCTACCTGATAATTAATTGCACACACACCTAGTGTCCCAGGTCTAAATTAGTCCCTGATTAGAGGGGAACAATGAAAAAATGCAGTGGAACTGGCTTTGAGGTCCAGAGTTGAGTTTGAGCGTTCTAGCCGGTGGGCCTGAAATTGTCCCACACTGAAGTCTGCAAAGCTGAAACGTCCGTGTATGCCATCTCTGATGCAGTGAAAAAAAATGAAAACAAGCTTTATGCCACATCTTTTTGAGTGCGGACCCATCACACATACCCTTTTGCTTAGCTTCAAATCATGCCATTCACCAGAGAGGACTGACACCTTGATGTACAAACCAGCAGAGGCTGCTGAGGGGAAGATGGCTCGTAATAATGGCTGGAACAGAGCAAATGGAATGGCATCAAACACATGGCAACCATTCCACTAATGCCGCTCCAGCCATTACCACGAGCCCGTCCTCCCCAAATAAGGTGCCACCAACCTCCTGTGGTACAAACCCATTGCCAAAGACCATTCAGGGCACTTTGGAAAATAACTTTATAGATGTACTTGTGGAATGGCCTGTAGCATTATCTTGTCTTGTGGAAATATGAAACATTTCCATCTTACTCAACAGTTAACACAATAGACCATATCTCTTAAAATCAAATAACTTTATTAAGATTGTGCAATTTGGTACAGTTGACAGTGTTAAATATACTTGCTTGTTTACTTCTAGGCAAAATAATTGACACACTATATATATATATATATATATATATATATACACACACACGTCATATATTTTAACATACTTTATAAACTCTGAAATGGTACACAACCCTCACAATACTAATCAGGTTAATGCAACATATGGCTTCTGAATTGTCTACAAAGGAAGCTTTATTAGCTTTAATCACGTTTAGGTTCCACATACCCTTAGAAGAAAACCGTCTCCCCATTTAATCACCTTCAATTCTGATTTATACATTAGTGTGAAATCTAGTTTCTGGTTGATCAGAAGAAGCTAATGTTACACATCTCTTACACTTTCTCCTTTTTCAGGGAGTATTAATATGGATGTGACTATGGCAACAAAAGCAGAGGCAATTCAAAACTATACTAAAACATTTCAATTAGAAATAAAACCAAAAAGCTTGGATAAAAATGTTAGCAAAGATTTACCATCCAAACATGAACAATGCATTTCTTAGATACACGTTGCATTTCAATAGTCCTCCTTCCTGCCGTTTAATTTAGGAACTAAATACAGTGTTACAACTTAAACAGCAGAAAATCAAGTAGTGTAGGAATAATTAATAGATTAGTGTTAAGGCGCATCATACAGTATAACTCTGCCAAAGGTGATCTACGTGATGTGGTAGGGTCAGGGTCTGAAGTCAAAAGACTTCCGGCTGTTATTTTACCTACAGTAATCTATCAGTGTCCAAACATTTCACATCCCTAGTAGGATCCATGCTGCTTATCATGTGGCTTTTCAGGCTTGCAAATATAAGAGCACAGATTTAGAATTGTGAGAGACGGTGGAGGAAGCTAGAAGCACAAACAAACAAAACACCAATAGATCACTCTCACGTAAACGTTTACAATGGATTTCACTACGAACAAACTTCTAGAATGGCAATAAAAATCATGCAAAAAATGTTTTGCCCCATGTTCCCAGGCAGCACAATATGGAGAGAAATATAGAAGAAAAGCTAGAGGAAATTCAGTCAATTTCTCAAGACATTAACACTCAAGCAAAAATGTTGTTTAAAAATCGCAGGGTGCACTAGATTATGTAACACTCAACAACCCAATGCTCCTCATAGATCCTGGAAGGTCATCATCAGGATATCTGTCAGGAGAGAAAGAGAGGGGATTGACAATTAGATTGATGAGAGCTCAACCACTACAGGAGTTTTACTGCTTTGATTTGGTAATCAGAATAAATTCATTTGAAATGGGCTCATCCTGTCGAGTGGATTGATTCAAAAGCTGTCATACACACCTCTCATCTTCTCTCAGTTGGAGTTCCTTTGCCTGATGTCCTTGTGGTTTGTGTTAGCATTGCTCTTCCTGAAATACATTTTCCATTCAGAACATTAAAAAAAATTACAGTATTTCCTTGGGTGAGAAATTAAATACTGTATTTTTTTAATGTCGGTGTGAAATGTGTACTTACAGGGGAGCAGATCCTGAGTCGTCATCTATACAGCAACACAGGGACAAGAGAAAAGATGAAGAGAGTCAATAGCTGAATTTGTTCAAGAGACTAGGTGTGAGCAATATTCTCCCAATGAGAGCAAGGCATGGAAAAGGCATGCTTTCCACAGACAATGAAAGAAATGGTGACAAAGTTCCAATTATTGCTTTAAGTAGGCCTTTCAAGTGCACTGCCATAGATCTACAATAATCAAATAAAGACAGTTACGTCACTTGAACTTTATCACAATCAAATTAAAAAAGATAAAACAGCAAGAGTTATGACAAATCTCAGGCAAGGAATGAGATCAAAGATGGCATGATATCCCTGCTATAAATAGCTGAAATTACTCGTCATGCATAGAGATCAAGATGCAGATGGAATGCAAGACCAAATATTAAAGGTATACACAGCAATATGACATAACTAGCCAGGCTGCTTTCCTGCTTACTGACAAATATTTGTTGTTGATGTATGTAAGCAGGAAGTTGCTGCCCTGTGTATGATGTCATACTGCTGTGTGTACCTTTAAAACCCTAATCCCTTAGGCGTTTCCAACACTACAAACCATGACGTTAGACCTAATTCCCCCATCACATTACTTATTTGGCCCTTTCACTGGCATGACAAAAAAAAAACATTGATTTGTGGGCATAAAAATGGGGCAACATTTTTGCAGTCTGAAAATGTCCTTCAAATTTAGCCCAGGTTGGTCCAATGTAGGAATGCAAGGCCAGTGGAAGAGTTCCTTATTAGATACAAGTGGCGACTATGAAAGCAGTGCATTCAGAATCCCATAGCTTCTCAGTTACTGTCATTTCAGGTCAACCACTTCAAATCTGACATGCAGATTTGATCACTTACCAAAACGCAAAAGCAGCAGCGAACAGAGAAATAAAAAATTTAAATAATAAAAAACTGTTCTAATAGAAAACCAATTGCTTTAGATGAAATGGAACTCCTAAAATCAAGAGTGGAAAACATACTTGAAAACTAAATCAAGAAGACCACATCAATAATAGTAAACTTCCTATATCCAAACCATTATGAAAATGTAAACTATAGAGATATCATTAAAATTGCAGGTAATGCACAGCAAACTTAGTAGAATGACAGTGCATCTGCAACTGAGAGACTGTTCTGCCACTGGGGGGCAGCAGACACTCAGTCAAAACATATGGACTTGACCAGGTATGCTACTTTAGCCCTTCAGAAAACATATATGAATGGCAAAACAAGAGTACTTCCTTTCTGCCTTTCTCTGCGGGTGTGTCTACATACCGTCGTTGATCTCATCAGGCTTTCTCCTCTTCTCATAGATGAAGATGATGCTGACCAGGATGATGACCTCGGCCACTATGCCCAGGAAGGGCCAGAGGGCAGCCAGCCGGCTGCGGACGCGCAGGTGGATCTTGTCGGAGGTCGAGCCGACCTCGCTCGTGCCGTAGCACATGTAGTCGCCTATGTCCATGGCGATGTCCAAGTCGTCAATGGTCAGGGTGGTCCTGTTGGGGGTGCTCTTGATCTCATACCTGTCGGTACCGTTGGTGATGGCCTGAGAACGCCAGACAGAGAGCAAAGCCATTTAACACCCATTTCCAGATTTCAATATTTTTATATTTTCTAGTGCAGACCCCTTTGGCGAGTACTACTACGTGTGGAATTACTGTGGCTTCAATCAAGATATTGATTTAGTCAACGATTCCTAAAATTGGAAAATAAATGCAGCATTGTTGAAACTGAGTTCAATCACTCAGTTCAGTCCAGCAGCAAGGTTTATTCTAGCTCAGTGAAACCAATTTTGTTAAGCCTAATGTGTATCAATGATGTAAAGTTTGCTAAAGCATACCGTCTTATCTTCTCCCTCCAGTTTGTACCACTTCCAGTCAGTGGGCAGTGGGTATCCATGACTAACACACACCAGCACACCCTTGTCCTTCTCGTTACCATGCTCAGAGTGTTTGTAGGCAGAGACATGGGGAACAGCTAGTGAAACACAGGGAGGCAGGTATTTATGGGATGATAGCCATTTATGGGATGATAGCCGATATGCAACATTTATCCAAAACATCAGCATCTGCAGTTTTATAAACCAATTGGCTTTATAGGCCTATTGCAGCCTTCAGATACTCAAAGTGCGCTAAAATTAACTGGCATAGCATGTCAGTAGAAGAAACTTAAAAAGGATTACTTACTTTTGACCACAATGGTTGTCTTCACCTCGGGCTCAGAAAGGAAGACGCACTCATACAATCCACCGGAATGGGAATCGATTTTAGCCAAGCTAATGGAAAAAACAAAAACTAAATGTAAGCCCTAAAAATGGGAAACATAGGCATACTACAACAGACTTCGCTCAAACAATGGCTTCTAACGCATCCCAGTCATGAAGTCACTTTGCTTACAAAAACAAAAAGTGCTGCCCCAACAGACTGAGCTTCAGTGGCAGGTAAATCGAGTCCCGTCCATCTGTTGGATCAAACATGCAGATAAAACATGCAGACACACACTGCCTGCCTGGAGCTTTTTTATTTTATTTGACCTTTATTTAACTAGGCAAGTCAGTTAAGAACAAATTCTTATTTACAATGACGGCCTACACCGGCCAAATCCGGACGACGCTGGGCCAATTGTGCGCCGCCCTATGGGACTCCCAATCACAGCCGGTTGTGATACAGCCTGGAATCGAACCAGGGGGTCTGTAGTGACGCCTCAAGCACTGAGATGCAGTGCCTTAGACCGCTGCACCACTCGGGAGCCCTTACGTGTGCTCGGTGTAGAGAGTTGGCGAGTTATGCTTGGATGACTCGATCACTTTGCCGTTCCTCATCCAGTAGTGGCCTTTGACTGCGGACGGGGGGTCGGTCAGTTTACATGAGAGGATGGCAGAGGTCTGGTTGTTTACCTCCATAGGTTGAGCTTCGATTAAGGGATCTGTAGACACACACAAAGTGAATATATTTTAAAAAGCCATCCTTTGATATGAACACATCAAGTAGGCGTATACACTGCCCATTACAGTTTACCATAGTACCATGAGGAAAGGCCAAGTGTAACTAATTATTGTATGTCTTTTCTAGTACAATATATTGCTAAAATAGTTGAGGGTAACTAAAAAGGCACTAGATACATCTGTGGTTATTTAGGCTAACGGAATTTATAGGGTTTACAGGACAAATGGCACTCTATTGGAGATTGTCTTGATACCAACATGTTGAGGAGGCACAAACCTTGAGGAGACACTGTCCAGGGCTCGACATTGCTTTACTATCCTTTAGCCTAAACTTCATAGTGAAAACTGATAAGGTCTAGCCTAGCTGATGAAATGTTATTACTTTCATAAACTATCACATTTCAAGCCAAGAACAGTACAATATTAAAGTGGCAGCGCAGAGCTTTCTATCTGAACCAAGAGTTTAAGAGAGGAGGAGTTACACTGGGAAGTTAATCTAAGAGACCATGCTTGTAATCAACATAAACAGAAGAAGCAACCAGCAAGGTGAGGTATTGCAGGTTGGTGTTCCACTGACAGAGAAGAGGAACAAATAAGAGGATATTTTGGTTTGGGGTAGAGAAATCAACAACTTGTGTCAAATAATACTGGACCACAAGGCAGAAAGATGGCTTATGGCTGAGAATCATTACAAAGCAGGTTTGGGGTCTTCTGTAGATAATTTAGTACTCCTAAAGAGCCTAAACAGGTGTAAAGAGTGTAAACAACACAGGACAGTGCCAATGTTTGTATCAATTATTACACATTCTACTCCTTGGACAGGACAGCAAAATAGACAATGAAAGCCAACAAGAAGCTAAACACACCATAATCTGACCCCTTAAAACATGTTTTTATTTTTTATGATGCATCCATTTGCAGGTTTCAGACCTTCTAACCAGTATTATCCATATATGAAATATATTTTGCTAATGAATTAATTTAAACAATTCACTAAGCTTTGACATAGGCCTAGCAAAAAAGCATCAGATTGAGGGTAGTGCTACGGCAGGTAGGAAGCGTCTAAGGAGAAAGGCTCGGCCACGCCATCACAGGAGCTCAGTGAGGGGAGAGTAGGGGAGTCTGGGTGAGACAGGTCAGGAGAGGGTGTGGGACAGGAGCTGGTCCACTCACTGTCCTCCCTACAGGGAGATGCTGCCTGGCTGTACGCAGGGCCTCTCACTTACATTCAAATACTATAACGTTAGCCTGTGAGCAGATCCTCTTGATTTTGGGTGCCTTCTTCAGCTCGTTGCGGTCAGGATCGTTAGAAGCGTGGCACTCGTACGTGCCAGTCATTGAGCGTGAGGTTTAAGAGGTGAATGGAGCTGGTGGCATGCTGGATGTAGGTGGCGTTGAGCCCGACACGGTCCTCCTGCGCCCCATCAAACAGCTGGGTCATGGTCTCGTGCTCCTCGCCCTCTATGAACCACCACTGCACCTCGGGGATGGGGTTCCCAGTCACCACACAGTGCAGCTCTGCACTGTCCTCTATCAGCTTCATCTGGGACAGGGGCGACTTGATAAAGACAGCTGAACAGGCCACCGTGGGGGGAGGGGTGGATTGATTTGAGTATTATATTTATTTGGATTGGGTTCGGATTGGTGTGAGCACATCAGTCAATTTTACGAGATGATAGTAAGGCAAAAAAGAAAAACAGAAGAGGTTAATAGGACACATGAATAAGAGAAGGCACAGAGTTTGAGTCATTTTAACCCAATGATTTCATGCCAAATTGATTTTTAGAGTCCTTGATACTCAGACCCACTGCAGAAAGTTGAATGACGTGCATTAAATAAAAGCAAATGTCACTGATAAAACCAGATACATTTAATGAAGCTTAACTGAAAAGATAATGAAATGTGCAATGAATAACAAAAAAAAGCACGAGAAAGCAAAGCAGATGATGAAAATGCCATTAAAAGTTCAGATGTTTTTTTTTTTTTATATGGCTGTAAATCTATTACATTTTCTCTGTCTGTTTGTGTTGATGGGAAGTGCAGAGCTTAGTTATTAATCGAACACGACACCTGATCTGACATGGAGGACATTCTGTACAGGATTTAATACCCAGGAGGAGCAACAGAGGAATAACATTCTCAGGCGCGAGCCAAGTTGTGTTGAGTTAGCCCCCTGTAGGGCTATTTCTATCGAATCCCACAAACAATCTTAAATCAACGCACGGGATAACAAAACCTGGGCAGAGCTCGGGGATGCCCATGTAATGCTGCTTGAACAAAGATATAACCATGTTTTCAGACATAATGTCTGCGCAACACCCTTTCTCTGTGTATCACTAGAAACACTTCACATAGTACGACAATAACAAGAGGTGGTAGGTGGACATTTTCTGAATAGTTGGCCACCTAAAACGACAACAGCATGTAGCTATTAACATGTCCACAGAGTCAAACTTGTGAATTGGGTTAGAGCCATTGGAGCCTCTGGCTCTAAATATCATGTGACCTTTTAGCTCAGGGTGGTGGGATCCTTTTAACCATTGCGAAAGGTCACCTTCATAGCAAATGCTGTACAAAACAAGTAAATACAGGTACTGACTTCACATAGGCCTGAATGAAAAACATACCTTAGTCACATTTTATTATAAACTGCCAGGAAGTCCCACTGGAGTAAACAATCTCTTTTGGAAGGAGACCTGGCCATGGCAACAGCTGCAGTATCAGAAGATACCCCTACTGAGTGACTGTTCTGTAGGCTACATGTGGTCCTAACTGGCCTAGCATATTGAAAGGACAGAGGCCCGAGTGCTTGGAATGGTTGTCAAGTTAATGTGCTACAGCTTTCTAAGGACAATGGGTCATCCGCCACAGATCACCTATTCATAGTAAACAACCAGGCTTACACATGTAGGTTTCTTTTTTTGTGTGAATGCTAGCAGAGGACAAATAGGGAAGTTTCAAATGCAGGTGTGATAGGCGTGTAAAACCAAAATGTAAACATGAACACCATCAGTGCCCACTAAATTTGCCCACTAAGGAGGCAAACAAAAGAAAAACCCACACCAAACTTAAAGACAGGAAGAAACCCAAAAAGGTGTATCAAAATAGGGAGCGACAACTAAAAGGTGTTAACCCTCCACTCTATCAACACAACTGGAGCACTGGGCCAACCACTCTTAAATAGCACCTGGGTCAGCACAGGTGAAACACCTTCCCACTAACGAGATTGCAACCAGCACAGGTAACCCATGCTGACTAACGAGGTGATACCAATCGGTGCGCCCTACGTGCTAAAGTCCAACCTCAATATAAAACGCAACATGCAACAATTTCAAAGACTTTACTGAGTTACAGTTCATAAGGAAATCGGTCAATTTAAATAAATAAATTAGGCCCTAATCTATGAATCTCACAACTGGGAATACAGATATGCATCTGTTGGTCACAGATAGCTTTAAATAAATAAAAAATAGGGGGGTAGATCAGAAAACCAGTCAGTATCTGGAGAGACCACCATTTGTCTCATGCAGCGCGACATCTCCTTCGCATAGAGTTGATCAAGCTGTTGATTGTGGCCTGTGAAATGTTGTCCCACTCCTCTTCAATGGCTGTGCGAAGTTGCAGGATATTGGCGCAAACTGGAACACGCTGTCGTACATGTCGATCCAGAGCATCCCAAACATGCTCAATGGGTGACATGTCTGGTGAGTATGCAGGCCATGGAAGAACTGGGACATTTCAGCTTCCAGGAATTGTGTACAGATCCTTGCGACATGGGGCTGTGTATTATCATGAGGTGATGGTGGCGGATGAATGGCATGACAATGGCACACCCTCAAAACCTGCGACAACTGTGGCATTGTGTTGTGTGACAAAACTGCACATTTTAGAGTGGCCTTTTATTGTCCCCAGCACAAGATGCACCTGTGTAATGATCATGCTGTTTAATCAGTTTCTTGATATGCTACACCTGTCAGGTGGATGGAAGAAAAACATTTGTGCAAAGAATGAGAGAAACAAGCTTTTTGTGCTTTTAAACATGTCTGGGATCTTCTATATCAGGACATGAAACATGGGACCAACACTTTACATGTTGTGTTTATATTTTTGTTCAGTGTATAACTGAAATTTCTATGTGAATTTGGTCGGATCGCCCAACACATTACATATGCAGCTTTAACAGAACATGCAACTCCTGTAATGAAGCAGCCAATAAAACTATTTTCAAACATTTGCCAAAATGCAATTCGCGAGAAAACACCATTCTAAACAGAGCACCTGATGCGAGCGGTATATGACAGAGATTAAAATCAGAGGGGGAATCTAAAGATGCAACAACTAGGATGGGTTGCTAATATGAATAGGGTTGTGCCTTTGGCTTATGGACAATTTTAAAAAGTTGATATGAAAACGAATATAAACAGGAGAGAAATGGGATATGAAGAAGTCTTTCATAGGCAGGTGTGGAAAAAGTCCTAGCTGATTATTGAGTTGCGGCTGTCAATGAAAAAGCATCTATAACGTGTGAAGATAATGAGTCTTGAGTATAATAAAGAAATGTTGAGACAAAAAGGGGAGGGATGTGTGGCGAAGATAGCCTACAGGCGCATCTCTCTCTAGAATGCATGCGCTCAGCTCTCCAGAATGCAATCGATCTTCTCATGAAAACGTCTAGTGTCCGAACAAACTATTATGACCCATCTATGGAAAGGTGAGACTCACACGAACATGTCGGTGATTTTGCTCCAAGTCCCCCACAAGCGTCACGGGACTCATCTGAAGTGGGTACCATCGATCTGCCAATTTCTGTCTGTAGCGTCCAAACAGTTTGGGCTACACACTAATATAACCCCCCTATGGAAAGGTGAGTCTCTCACGTACACTACATGACTAAAAGTATGTGGACAGCTGCTCGTCGAACATCTCATTCCAAAATCATGGGCATTAATATAGAGTTGGTCCCCCCTTTGCTGCTATAACAGCATCCACTCTTCTGGGAAGGCTTTCCACTAGATGTTGGAACATTGCTGTGGGGACTTGCTTCCATTCAGCCACAACAGCATTAGTGAGGTCGGGCACTGATGTTGGGCGATTAGGCCGAGCTCGCAGTCTGCGTTCCAAGTCATCCCAAAGGTGTTCAATGGGGTTGAGGTCAGGGCTCTGTGCAGGCCAGTCAAGTTCTTCCACACCGATCTCAACAAACCATTTCTGTATGGACCTCGCATTGTGCACGGTGGCATTGTCATGCTGAAACAGGAAAGGGCCTTCCCCAAACTGTTGCCAGAAAGTTGGAAGCACAGAATCGTCTAGAATGTCATTGTATACTATAGCGTTAAGATTTCCCTTCACTGGAACTAAGGGGCTTAGCACGAACCATGAAAAACAGCCCCAGACCATTATTCCTCCTCCACCAAACTTTACAGTTGGCACTATGCATTCGGGCAGGTAGCGTTCTCCTGGCATCCGCCAAACCCAGATTCGTCCGTCGGACAGCCAGATGGTGAAGTGTGATTCATCACCCATTTCATGAAGCTCCCGACAAACAGTTATTGTGTTGATGTTGCTTCCAGAGGCAGTTTGGAACTCGGTAGTGAGTGTTGTAACTGAGGACAGACTATTTTTACGAACTACGCGCCTCAGCACTCGGCGGTCCAGTTGTGTGAGCTTGTGTGGCCTACCACTTCGCGGCTGAGCCGTTGTTGCTCCTAGACGTTTCCACTTCAAAATAACAGCACTTGGCCCGGGGCAGCTCTAGCACGGCAGAAATTTGACAAACTGACTTGTTGGAAAGGTGGCATCCTATGACGGTGCCACATTGAAAGTCACTGAGCTCTTCAGTAAGGCCATTCTACTACCAATGTTTGTCTATGGAGATTGCATGGCTGTGTGGTCGATTTTATACACCTGTCAGCAACAGGTGTGGCTGAAATAGCCGAATCCACTCGTTTGTAGGGGTGTCCACATACTTTTGTGTATATATAGTGTACGTCGGTTGTTTTGCTCTACGATGCCCACAAAACTCTCCTGAAGGTAGTCCGGTACCAGTTGTAAAAAATTTATGGAAGTATATATGGAAGTAATTTAGTGCCTAAAAACAGGGGAACATGTTTCAAAAATAAATCATGTTTCGTGATCTTTCTTTTATCTCTCAGATACATGACAGACACTTCAAAACAAACATCCTTTATATTTTTGGGGGGACTGTTTTTCCATGTATGAATCTGTTATTGAATGCGTTTCTATGGGCTAATAGCAATAAGGCCAAATTCAATGTTCAATCAAATATTTTTTATATATATTTTTTGTATACCTAAAGGGGACCTAAAATCCAAAATCAAATAGCTAAACAAAGACGAATCCAATGGTACAACTCTGTAGCAAACACACAATGTTTAAAGGGAGTTAGAAATCCAAAAAGCGCTGGTGTTAAGGTGGGAATCATTGTGTTAAGGTCATTTCAATTTCTTGTAGTCTCTGCTAAAAACAAGCTTGCAAACACAAGGTTTCTTGCTTGTTTGAAACGTTTTATATAATACATTTAAATACATTGGTATTGTAACCATATAGAAATA